ATGGATCTATAGGATGTTAAAAAAGCAATCTTCAAGTATATTGTCAACAGTAGGGAAAAATTGTTATAAATACATATTATTAATAACAGTTATGAGATTGTATAATTGTGAATGTATATATGAAATTGATAAAATTAAAATAATTTTAAAAAAATTATTCAAAAAAAAGATATAATACATATAAAAAGGGGAAAAAAGGAATCTAAGAACATGGGATAAAAGGAGAACCAGAAAATTGATGAAAAGCAAAACTTTAAAGAGAGTAAGAAATGAACTAAGAGAAAAGGAGGAGGAAGGGATATATTTGTAGAATAAAATGAAATATGTTAATACTGTTAATGATATGTAGCCACTTAAGATGTGAGGAAATTATATTAACATTACTAACTGTGGATAGCTAATTAAGTAAAATGCTTATTACATAACAATTGAATTTGAGGATATACATGCTATCTATACAAAATAGAACAACAGATAGGGAAATGAAATGATAAATTCGGTTTAACTGTTGAAGGGGCAAATAATGATATTGTTGAAGTGTTAATAAAAAAAATGAAGTTTAAGATGGAAATATGGGAAGAAAATAATACGGCTAAAATTGGAAATGGTAATATGATGTAAAATAAATTAAAAACCCGGCCAATAATACTTTGTTTACAAAAGAATTTAAAATTTGTAACAACAACAACAACAAAAACTTTGCTTGAAAGGGAAAAAAAGGCCCAAACTTCCTCCCCAACCTCCTCACTGTCTGAGTCTACCGCCAGCTCCATTGGCCGCTAGGGGGATACAACAGTCCATATTTCCGCGTGGTTGGTTGTGGAATTCTGGGATTTGAAGTCCACAGCTCTAAAATTAGCCGAGTTTGGAAACTCCCGAAATAAAGCTTTCTCCATTCCTCTTTCAGGCCTAATCCCGATCACCTTCGCCCTCCGGATTATGATGATATGTTCATGTGACGACCGCCAAGATGCCGCATCTCTTTCCCGGAAGACCGACGTCTGATGCTTATCCAGAAGTGGGGCAGAGTTGGCCTGTCCCGTAGCGGTTTTCTGTCCCGGCCTGCGTGTTTTGGTCCCACTCCTATAAAACCAAAGAGAAAAAGGCGCACCGTTTTTTCTTTCAGCCTCTGGCCTTTCTCTCTTTCTCCCTCCCATCATTTTACGTTCGTTCCATCCGGGACGCCAATTTGACGATCCAACATTGTGTGCTCGAAAACCAGCGGTGTTTACAAGGCTAGAACTCTTTTTCAAAAGTGGCGAGCAATGCCAGAACCTCCGGGGAAGGTTCTGTCTATATCAGGATGGTTAACCTGGTTTAATCCCGAACCCAATTTGTCATGAAATGGGGCGGAGCTACACAAGGGTAGGTCAACCGCCAACATCTTCCTCGTCTCTCATTTTCAGATCCTTCCGATTTCTCGCGGAAACGAATGGTATGCCCATACAGGGAGTTTTTGTCACATGCCGCGCTAAACTTTGGTGGCGATGTGATCCAGCAAAGTGCCCGCCCCCCTTTTCCGTACTTCCAGCCCCCTTAATTTTCCTACACCCCCCACCCCCCCGCTTGCCACAACTTCACGGAGTGTGGAGAAACTGAAACGAGAACTTGGAGGTGCCCAAATACCTGTGGAAAGACCGAGGGGATTTAACAACTAATGGGCGGTATTTGGGCCAAGGCTGCCAGCTGCCGGCTGTTGTTTCGGTGAGTTGAGGCTTGTTCAAAGAGCTAATTTAGTGAGGATAAATCTCTGAGGCTACCCCCGTCCCACACACACACCCATCTTCAAACACAACACAACCACACATGTCTACATCTCCAAAGCTGGCTCAGTTGAACTGGTTTTGCTGGTAGGAGACCTCGGTGCCCAATTCCACCTGGAAAGACTTCCTGTCCTGTGACCTCGGTGCCCAATTCCACCTGGAAAGACTTCCTGCCCGGAGTCTCGATTACAGGTTGCAATTAGTTGTTGCCTTAACAAACAAACAAAACACACAATAAAATGAACAATGAACCTCGGTCTGCAGTCTCTCAAAGCAAGTTTATTTATGAAGTTTGTGTGCTTCCCGTAGAAGTGGTGCGGTGGTCTAGAGGTGGAGCCCCCGCCTCACAAATCAGGAGGCTGTGAGTTCGATCCTAGGTAGAGGCAGATATTTCTCTCTCTCGGCACAGTGAGAATATATCTGCTGAACGAAACTCCGTGTTGGCGATAGGAAAGGCATCCGGCCATTAAACACTCTGCTAGCACCATTCAGCTGCCCAGACTCCACCCTGCAAGGGATTATGGGGCCATTAAATGGGGATGATGATTTGCTGCCCATCTCTTATCCAGCGATTCCAGCCGGCTTACAACATAAAAGCATTTAAAAAAAACAACACATTAAATCATCAATCAGAGAAACACAGCGGATAAAAACATGAACGAATAAAATCAGTACAGGTAATCCTCAACTTATAACAGTTCATTTGGTGATCGAGGTTACAACAGCACTGAAAAAAGTGACCTATGACCGTTTTTCACATTTAACGACCGTCGCAGCATCCCCGGGGTCACATGATAAAAATTCAAGCACTTGATTCGTATTTACGACGACCGCAATGTCTCGAAAATCATGGGATTCCCCTTTCGCAACCTTCTGACCCGTAAAGTCCAGGGGGAAGCCGCTTTCACAACCACGTGACCAACTTAAGAACTGCAGTGATTCACTTTACAACCGTGGCAAGAAAGGTCGTAGAATGGGGCAGAAGCCACTTAACAAACGTCTCGCTCGGCAACAGGAATGTTGGGCTCCCTTGTGGTCGTAAGTCGAGGACTCTCTGTAATACCAGACGGCAAAGGAGGGAGCCGGACACACGTGAGGAGGGGGAGGTAGAATTAAGTTTTAATGAGTCAAAACACGGGTGGGATTCAGCCGGTTAGGACGAGTCCCGGCAAACTGGTTGCTAATTTTGCATCCAGTTTGCCAAACCGGTTGTTGCAAGGACTAGCTGGCCTCGCCCCTCTCAAGAGTCTCCACGCGGACTGTTCATGCCAGGTAAGTACAGGGCCCGCCCGGAGGCTCCAGGAGGGCTTAAAACGGGCCTACCGGAAGTTCCAGAAGTCCAGAAACGAGCCCATTTCCAGCTTCCGGAGGGTCTCTGGAGCCCGGGGGAGGACATTTTCGCCCTCTGGAGGCTCAAGGAAATGCCCTCCTCCCTCCAGCTGCCGCCGTGAGGAGGCCGAGTAGACCATGCCCCCCCAGACTAGTGGTAGGTTCTGGGCGGTACACTCCAGTCCATGCGTACCGGTGCTTGCCGGAAGCAGCAGCCACCATACCAGAAACGGTGCTTTGGAGGGCCTGCCCTCCCGCCCTCGTTCCTTACCTGTATTTGAAGGAAACGGGCCGTTGGCACACGCAGCACTGCCCCTGCGCGACACTCCAAAGCGTTAGCAGCAAAACGTTGCTAACATTTTTTTTTTTAGTAAATATGTTTTATTTTCATTTTCATTTCATACAGTCACATCAGGGGTGGGTTTCAACCGGTTCGCGGCGGTCCCTGCNCCAAAATTAGTGACAATTTAATTGTTCATTTATGTGTGTGTGTCAAAACTAAGAAGCTACCAAAATCTTTCAGAGCTCAGTGGAGGAAGCAGGAAATCTAATAATTTTTCCCATGAGTGCTTGGTTCTTCAAAAGCATGACCTGACAAATGCGCGCACGACAAAAGCGCACCGATGAAACTGCGCGCAAAAACTGCAACATCATCAATGCTCCCACAACAGCGCACCCACAACAGCACACCGACAGAAGCGCAATTTAAGTTAAGGTCAGGGTTAGGTTCAGGGTTAGGTTCAGGATTAGGTTTAGGGTTAGGTTTAGAGCGCGCTTCTGTCGGCGCACTGTTGTTGGCACGCTTCTGCGCTCATTCGTCAGCACGATTTAGAACTTGTGGTTTTCTTGCCGCGGTTTTGTCGGGCGCGCTTTTGTCGAGCACACATTTGTTGATGAACCCTTCAAAAGCATTTAGAACTTTCTGTATCTTACCTGGTGATATCAAAACTATGACCTGTGTGTCACATTGCCACGTTGGTTGTGACTTTCCAGCAGAGTCAAATTGGGCATTTTCTGAATGTTTCCCACACCAAGCCCAAAAGGTTTGGCCTCACTGATCTAAGGTTGTGTTTGCATGTAGGCAACTTTAGCAACTTTCATATGGAATTGTTGAGTGGTCTAGTTTTAATTCTAAGTGAGTTCTGCCTGCCATGTATGACAACTTAAAACCCTATAATATATTTAATCTAAAAGAATAAGTTTTTTTATTACACAGAACTATTTAATTATATAATTTAGTACATAATAAATTAATATCAATAATAGTTCTGTGTAATAAAAAAAAACTCCCCCTGAATTGATTCTATTATTCTAGATCAGGCGTGTCAAACTCGCGGCCTGTGGGCTGGTTGTGTCATGTGCTGGTCCCGCCCCCACCTGGTTTAGCGAAGGAGAAAAATGTCCTGATATGTCACATGATGCCACCATGACGACACAAATTTGACACCCCTGTTCTAGGTGGTCCTTGAAAGGAGATTGATATCCAGAATACATAACGGTCATGAAATTCACCCCGACCCCTAATTCGAAGTTGGAATTTCCCAATTTTAATTAATACACTAAATATCTGTGTACAGTTGGACATTACAGATCTATACCTTTGTTGATGTATTTCATCTATTGCCTACTGAAAGTGGAACATTAAGCTTCAGGATGTAACAAATTGATTTTTTTTTTGTTTGTTCCAAGAAAGGATATAAGCTTCAGGCTCTTAAGATTAAAGTACATGTGGGTTTGCATGGTTTTTTTGCTTGTTTATTTGGACAAGAATCTGTGTAATGTCCTATAAAGCTAGAAAGTGGCCATAAATTTAAAACACACTGAAGAACGCAGACAGTTAAATCTTCATTTCTCCTGTTAGACAGTAAGTATAACTAAGGAGAAGTGCCTTCAGGCCAATGCTTTTAAAAGACTGCTCAACTTGAATATCTTGATGGGTAAGAATATTTTAGCAAAACACAAAACATCACCGCTATTCCGTTCAGATCTGTTATTTGGATGAAATCCAGAAAGAAAGAACTTAAGGTATCAGACAATATTGGACAGCAGAACAGATATAATGGCAACAGGGTTTGTTTTTTTCCTATCTTGCAGAAAGAGGCAAAATGTCACATGCTTTGGGATGTACACAGTGCAAATTGGGTAAATGTTGAATAGTAACGAGAGCTAGAAATAGGTCAGTGCAGCTAAACATCAATGCAAATCAGTTCCCACCTCTTGCTGAATCGAACAAACAAACAAAAATATTTAAAAAGGTAAGAAAATATCATCCATTTGTATTCCTATCCTATAGCTCATCAAATCCTGGCTTTCTGACAACTTGCAGTTTATTTAACAATTTAACATTTATCACTCACAATGCATAAAGTTATCATCATCATCATCAATCATCATCATCATCATCATCATCATCATCATCATCATCATCATTCTTCACTACACTAATACAATAGCAATGAACTTACATCCTTATCCTTTCAATCATTTATAAGAATATATTTATGTTAACAAAGTCATCCTTTTTGGTTTGCTTGTTTCTTTAATTCCCTTTTCATTCTATTTTCATCTTAGCAGACTATCTAAAAAAAAAAGAGATGGTATATGCATTTTTTTAAAAAAAAATCTTGTTATAAATAGTTCTAACTTCTCTGTGAATGAATCCTTTTGTGGTTTGGTTACTTTAGGGGATTTTTTTTAGCTCCTTTTGTTATTGTTGTTGCTTCTTGATCTGACCCGTGGCTTTGGTATCATAGAGTGTTTTGGAGAACATGCAGGCTAACAAAATAATTTGGATATTTTGANAGCCCTCTCTAAGCAGTTTACAATTTTTTTTTTTAGCAAATTGAGTCAGCAACTTGCCCCCACAGTCTGGGTCCTCATTTCATCCACCTCGGAAGGATGGAAGGCTGAGTCGACCTTGAGCCTGGTGAGATTTGAACCGCTGAACTGCAGATCACAGTCAGCTAAAGTGGCCTGCAGTACTGCACCCTAACCACTGCGCCACCTCGGCTCCTTAAATCAATTTATCTTGTTATATAAAGCAAAACAGGGTCTGTATTTTTTCAGTTTAACACCTTGCTTGATCCCCTATTGCGCCATCCTCTACATGCCTTTGAAAGTCTTTCACACAAATGGTATGGAATTTGTCCTTTTATATGAGTCTCCATAAACGCTCTTTCCCCAAAAAAAAAAAAAATACATTTCATGAAGTTCATTTTGTATGTTAGCAGAGACAAATGGGATAAGGAAATCAAAAGCACCTAGTGACTATACTACTGACTGATTTCAGATTCCCAATTCTCTCTCATGTAGAGGGAACGAAGTAGAAACAAACATTATTCTTGCTGTCAAGAATAATGAGGAGTTTTTGGAAAAATAAGAACTAATGTTTCATCCGAAGAGACTTTTTGTTCTAAGCATTTCTGACTTGTACCTCTGCGATGTGGCGAGAGGTTTGCAAGCTTCACACAAAACAAGGACATAATGGGTATGTCATGGGGATTAATTTTTAAAAGAAATACCGCAGAAATCCCAGGGGTCTTAAACAAAACTCAACCGGATCCCATTTCTGGAGTGAGAATGGTTGCCGATCCATGTTTGCAAGGAAGGATCTGTTTGTTTCCCAGGTGGATAAGTTCGAAGGAGAGCATTTCAGTCTCAACATTTATTCCATCAGGTTTAGAAAAAACATATTTTTTTTTCCTCCTGATAGAGTCCTGTGTAATTCTTACCTTGGAACTGAGCGTTAAACCCTTTCCGTCTGTGATTACTGTCAGAAGTGAAATGGAGCCGTAACCAGTTTTTACTGCTGATAACAGGTGAAGGCAGATTCATGCCAGTCAACCTAAAAAATAAAATATGTGTTCACTTGAAAACAGTAAAGCAACTACCAATTTTGTCTGATTATTTTGATAAAACACAGTTTAGAGACTAAGGCATATTTCAGCATGAATAGAGATAGCATTCAGTACTATATTCTCGACATCTATGCATTATTCTCGACAATTCTGACCCTGTTTATTGCATTTTTAATTCTATATTTACGTGATAAAGAAAGCATCTGATTTATATATGCGCATTATGAAAAAAAATGTACCCACACTCAGCCAAATGTTGAATTTTCTAGTTTTGAAAACGAGACTTCAATCCACAAACAATCTAACTTTGCATCTATTGTTGGAATAATTTCACATTGTATTAAATCAGGTCAATAAATGAACTAAATATAAATTGACAATCTGCTATACAAAATGTAACTTTAAGAACAAAATGTTTATTTGGGCAATATCTTATTGAGCAAATCAAACATAAAAATCAAGAGTAAGAAATTTGGAATACCCCAAAATTGTCTGTTCATGTTGTTAAACCTCCAATATGAGATTAATAAAACTGGTAATACATCTTGAAGAGGTATATCTTACAGATATCAATACAAAATGTGGCCCACAATTTCTAGCTATATTGACTTAATTTATTAAAGTGAAAGCTACTTTGCATTCAGTAAAAAAGCTATAGAGGTAAATCTGTCTAGCAATCCTGAAAAAAATTAAAGCCATATTTTGATGAAAACATTTTATGTTAGCCTTAAGATATCAGCACTTTTAGATTGGATCCAAAGAACTGTCTCTAAGGAATAACTCAGTGGTGGGTTTCAATTTTTTTTAGAACCTCTTCTGTAGGCGTGGCCTGCTTTGTGGGAGTGGCTTGCCAGCCATTGACCGAGTGGGATTGGCTTGGCAGTCATGTGACTGGGTGGGCGTGCCAACTTGTAAAATGTGGTGAAACTCACTTAACAACGCTCTT